TCCAATTGTATGAATATTCGAGTTATGAAATAGTTAAACAGTAGATTTGAGTGAGTGTTAGAGCTCGTCAGATTCAAAATTTTCGGACCCGGTCGAATTGTACTTTGATACCCTATATGAAATTTTCTAATCGAAATTGAATAGTCGCATCAAAGATACGAGATACTTTTTTTTCAGTTTTTTTTTTGTATTCGACGACTAGCGCATCCTATACATTGCTTATACCACTAGAGTCTATCGGACCCAAAATTTTCGAATTCAGACTCGGATCCAACCGAGTCCGAGTAATCCGACGGGCTCTAGTGAGTGTGAAGTCTCTTCATCCGCATCCTTACACTCACACTTAATCATATTTTTCTTTGTGTGAAACAAGATAAAGATTGTTTTCTGTTTACTTCATGAAAAATTTGTACAAGTTTTAGCAATTAAAATATCCGTTCAAGTATAACAACAATCAATAAAACTTTTATTGAATAAATTACATGCGAGTGTATACGAAGTATTTATGTCATATGTTTGTATGTCTAAAATAAAGCTAATCGAATAGTCTAGTCAAATTCAATCCAGCAGAAATCATTTGGAACTCAAAAGATTAATTATGAGTATAAACTGAAGTTCCGGAGATTCTCCAAGAAATACTTAGGACTACGGCTTCAATTCCAATCTATAATCTTTTCTTGCACTGATGAAGTATCATCCATTTTAATAAAGATGATTTTTCCACATTCTCATATTATCAGCACATAAAACGAAATTACAAAAGTAAAACACATTTGCTCATTCATTTTATAGATATAAGTTATGTCTTTATTCCTTTGTATTAGAATTAGAATTTAACATAGTGAATGAATGAAAAATTTCCCTGTGCCGAGGTCGTTGAAAGGTGAGCAGATATAGATAACTCTAGGTCCTACTCAGATAACATTTAATCAATCTTTTGCCTATTCTTAATTTGTCTTTTCATTCAAGTATGAAAAATACGCCATGTTTGTCTCTCAAACATAAGCACTAGTGCAATTGTAGATTGATTCCACTAGCTTAAGATTATGCAACACTTGACCAATTGCTCAGCTTCCAGTAAAAATAGTTTTCGGTTCCAACTTTTCTGATTTCGGCTAAGTAGAATCGAAAAATCTTGGTTCGTTTTTTTTTTCTGGAACCGCTGAGCTCCTCCGGTCAATGATCCCGGTATCCGGATCCTGCTTCCAAGTTTCTACCATTTTCCCGAGTTTTTCGGTCGGAAACGATCTGTATTTCTTGATCTAGGTCTACTTCAAACAGAGTCTTTTTCTTCTATGTAACTTGATCAATACAAACAAAATGATCCAAAGTGCCTTTGTGCAAATCGTCACATACGTTCTAATCTTGACTTCAATAATTAAGACTTCTGGCATTTTTTTTTATTATCCAAGATCAATAGTTATGTTGATAATAATCAAATGAAATCTTGACTAATTTAATAAGTCTTATTGAAATTTTCATTTCATAAATATGAATCATCCATTTTTGAGAAAACAAAACGTATATATACTATTAACTGTAAACATCAACTTATATCATAAAAAAAGTAATACTACAAATATCGATAAGAATTAAAATGAAGCCGCATTTTTTTTTTCTTGAAAATTTTTGGAATCTACAAAATTATCTTGTTTTTTTATTTTTATACATTTTGAAAATATATAAATAATAGCGCCAAAATTCATTCTTCTTATTTCTTCTTTTAATTTCTCTAACTTTCTTCTCATGTCACATAACAATAATTATCAACAAATACAAGAATTAGTTTCTTCAATTCCATTATCAACTAAAGATCATCTTCGTACTCAACAAAAAGATATTGTATGTAATGATTGTGGTGGTATTTCTGCTGTTAAAGTTCAACATTTATTATCAACACTTGAAGGTACAACACAACTATTTAATACAACACCATCAACAAATAGTATTATTGAAAATACAACAAAATCTAATAATATTTATCGAAAAACTAATAACCAATCAAATACAATAAACAAGAAAAAAAATTTAACATGTAATAATAGTAAAAAAAAAACTTCATTACGACGAACTATGAAAAATAATAATAAAAATAAAAATATGAATAAAAAAATTCAACATTCAACTAAACAACGAAAGTTAAGTATTAATCGAATTCAATCATCACAATATAAAAATAATAAAAAACAAGCAAAATCAAAGAACAATAATACAATTAAAATTAAGAAATTATCATCGAAAAATAAATAAAAATAAAAATAAACTATTGTATTTACTTTAATATTTATCGAATTACTTTATTTTTTTCATTGAAATAAATAATGTTTCATATTTAGTTTAGATATAGAGAAACAAAAACATCGAATTTTAATAATAATTGTTATCAAACTAAAATATCTTCATCAAATAATTGCAAAATAAAAATGACATAAATCAATAATATTTTCACGATAACACAACAAATCAATGAACTCAATTTTATAATGAAGTGACATTCTTCAAAATATTGCAATTTATTATGAAGTAGTAAATTCTATGTATTTTAAAAATAATATCATGATATAAATCGTGCCATTTTTTCTATAGAAATATATGTCATAGACAAAAATAAAGGAGGGAAGTAGGTTGATAACTGTTGAAACTGGCTTCCTCAAGAAATTTGATTTCTTCTATGTCAAACTATCACACACGAAGTGTTCGAATGTGAATTCTGGTAGAATTAATCATATAGCACTTGTTTGTATTGTGTACATATCAATTGAAATAGTCAATGATCGTCACATACACATTGAACTCAATTGTTGATGATAGTCAGCCTTTTTTATCTATCATGTCGTGAGTGTTCAGGATAATTTTCCTATGTTGCAATAGTATTTTTCGAGTGTTTCAAAATGGTGTAAAAATATTAACGAAAAAAAAAATACTAGATAGTCAAAGAAATTCTAAGGCGACCGTTCTCGAGACATGATTTTATGTCTTTTCTTTTTATTGGTAATTAGTAGATTTCAATAAGAAAATTACGATTTGGATGAAAACTAATATGATACTCTAAATCAGTATCCAAAATTGAATATACTTAAATGTATTTCAATTATTTTCAGAGACTTGAATTTTTCAATGAAAAATTCACCTCTGATCCTCCGTGAGGACTCGGTCAAAAAAATGAATTTCATCAATAAGTTATTTTGACAATGGGAATCAAGTTCTAAGTTTATAAAACCATGGCAGAATTCCATCTAGTAGAATAATAATAGAGTTTTCATGAATCTCATTTCCACACTCAAATCTAAGGGATTCAGAGGTGTACTTTTTTAACGAAAAAAAAAAGTTTACGATAATATTTGAAATATATATTAAATCCACTGAGTTTAAAATGCTGATTCAGAGTATCATATAAATCTTCACCCAAATCGTAAATTTTCTTATCGAAATCTACTAAATAAAGGCACAACATCATGTCTCAAGAACACTACTCTTAGAATTTCTTTATATGACCGATGTTTTTATACCATTTTGTAGCGCTTGAAAACTGCCATTGAATCATATGAAAACTAATCTGTCTGCTCATGAGATGTATAAACAAAAAAAAGACTGATTAACATCAACAATCGGATTCAATATACATGTAATGATCATCGGCCTGAGCACAGCAGCCATCGACTTCCCTTCTCTAGGCACAGTTCTTTTTTAATTAGGCACAAAACTACGAAATAATTCTCTTTTATTTAGAAATAAATTCTAATTATACAGAGTTTGTATCAATTTGTTTTTGTTACTAGGCAATGTATTCATTTTCATTTGTTAATAATATTGTAATATATCCATCAATGGCTTCTTTTGCATCGACAACGAAAAATAAGTTTCAAAAATATTTTTATGAACAAACGAAATGACATTGAAACCTTTTTGGATTATTGAATTTTGAGAGAAGACAATTATTAATCTATCACAAGAAATGCATCACCTAAAAAATTTTTCATTTTTTTTGGCTGAGAAAATAACTCAACTCAATAGAAGTTTTTTTATTTTCATCTTTTTTGATATTTTTAATTTTGAAATCTTAAAAAAAAACTCTGTTTAATTTTGCCTGATACATATATATAATTCAGTTTTATGTATCTGTAAAAATAAAATTTCATTTTTTTTTTTATTAAGATATAGTGTGTTCGATTATAAATTATTCTTCTGATATTTGTATTAGAAAAATATTCTATTCAAAAATTGATCTATCTTTAAATAAATTTTTATCAACTGAGTGATCCATTACACTCGACAAAATAAAATAAAATATTGGTAAAGAGATCAATTGAATAGATATTATATACTTATATAGTTTTTATTATAATTCTCATCAAATATTCATCGTAAATAATGAATCAATCTATTCAACTCCACGAGTATTATTAAGTTTAATAAACACTTCTCAACCGAAGTCTACTTTCCGTGTATTATAAAATATTTCATCATCTACATTTTCTTTTTGTTTTTTATTTTTTTTCTATGAGAAAAAAGGCTTTACATTATTATAGCGAACGAATAAGTATTTACTTTTGATTATATTCATACTGTCTAATATTCATAAGTTTGATTTTCCGGGCTTCTACCGACTTATTTTTCTCACAAGAGTCATGACAAAAAAAAAAAGAATTTGATTGAAAATTACTAATATTGCTTCTATGCGAAACAAAAAAAAGCTTTCACGACCTGCATGAAAATTCTGTTTAATGTTGCTGTTGGTAAGATGATGAAATGACGTAAATGAATTTTATTCATCGATCTGTTTGCATTGTATTTCAGCACCTCAATAACATAAAATGTGAGAAGGAAAAGAAAAAAAAAAAAGACATTATTCAGACATGACTTTGTGCGTATCTTGGTGAAATAATGTTCTTGTAAGCAGAAAAAAATTTTCAATTCTTTGTGAAGGGATAAAAAAAGAAAAAAAGAAAATAGTGAGAGTATTTAAAATGATTTTTTGTTTTCAAATTTAATGGATAATGTCAGTATCTTTTGTTGGGATTCAATTGAACGTGACCTGGTGGTGGTTGAGGTCCACGTTGTGGTTGATTATAATTGTATCCTGGTTGTGGAGCACGAGGAGTTGGATCAGGTCCAGAAGGTACTACATCTCTTGCAGCTTTGCTTTTTACGACATAATAAATAATCAAATAAATAATACAAAGCACGAAACATAAACAACCAACACTTATTTGAATTGCTCGAAAGAGATATTTTGCTTGTGATTCACTGTAACTTGAAAATGCACTAAGACTATTGAATGCTGTAAAAAAGCTTGTTCGAAATGAATTAGCTAACGCTATTGGTACTACAGCATTAGAAGCGCATGACGATGTTAATATACATGCTGTAGGTTGGGCAAGGAAATAAGCATCAAATCCAATCAATGCACCACAGGCAACAATAGCTATTACGCTTATTACAGTTGCACGAAAAGCAGCTGGTGGACCTGGTGCACAACATCCTATAGAAATTACATTTAAATAGTATATATTTATTGTTAAATAAAGATCTTACCAGCAACAAATATTCCAAAAAAGTGTACAATCATTATAAGACCACACCAACCTCCGGCAAATACATTTGTTGTCCAAAAATTTGCTGCAACATTACCCAATTCAGTAAGTATAAGAACAATAGTAGCTATAACTTCGACAATACCAAGAAATATTACGAAGCATCGAGGCCATGCTCTTTTAAAACTTTCTGCATTTGGAGCCGGCATATTTTATTGTAAATGAATATCAAAAAAGCAATCGCCTCTGACCTACTGTTATTGTTTTTGAAAAAAAATAATATGCCAGAGTTTTATACTTTCACACAATATATTTATTCTCGTTTTTTTCTTTTTTCTTTCCCTTTTTTTTTACTTCCAACCTACGCTGGCATTTTTAAGTGTTCACAAGCAAAAAAAAAGAGAGAGAGAGAACGGGAGAGCATAGTCGTCCATTTTCTTCACATCGTAAAAACAAAAAAAAAAAAGAGAATTTTAACAAAAAAAAGCGAAATAACGTAATCACTATGTATCAGTTCGCATCGGCTTTTCATTCGTGAGACATAAAAACAGAGCATGACAAAAAATAATATTATTCTGATTTTTTTCAGTCGCGTATTAATAATAAAAGAAAAAAACACAGTATAATAAAATAAACATTAAATAACTGATGAAAGTATTCTATTTATATTGAAAATGTCAACATAAGGCGTGTCATCGATTCTCAAACTAGAGTTAGACAATATAAGTTTTAGTGAACTATGAATTTATTTATTTAAGTTGAAGAACACCAATATTTTGTTTTCATCGAACAATTTATATTGGAATAAATTATGAACAAGTTTATTATATATAAAAATCAAACATGCATCTGCTCGTGACAAAAAGAAAACGTTATGTATTCAAAAGAAAAAAAATATATATATATTCTTGAAGAACGTCATTTTTTTTTCATAATGATTAGAAGTCATTCATGATATTTAATTTGAATTTTAATGAAAATCATTAGATATCTTATGATAATTATCATGTTTTTAAATATTCTTTATTGAAATAAATTAATGAACAATTTCTTTTTTTCTTCAATTTTTTGCAAACAACAATAAATAATTATTTTCACATAGACTACTCTTTTGAATCAATCATATTTATAAAATATATTTATAGAAAATTTGATCTACTATCATGAAAGATCTATAATAAAAAACACAATAGAAATCAATGAGTCTACACTAAAATAAAGTAAAACAAAAAGCATGATCTACATGACAATTGATAGATTTAATTAATTATATTTACACGTCTTTAAATAAACCCTTGAAAGCAACAAAGCATTAATAAATGAACTTAGTGAGCAAAGAAATATTGCTAGATATATACTAAACACCTGGCTCAGTTATATTTTTAGACTAAATTTAGATATTAATTTTCTTTCTCGGAAATTACTAAAAAAGCAAATGAGAAAAAGAAAAGGTTTTCATCCGTTGATTCATTGTTTTCATTTATTGTTTGTCATCATGAAAACTATACCTTGAAAAAAAAAATATATTCATAAATTTTCATAAGATAAAGTCTCTTTAGTTTAACATTTTACATTTATTTACAAAGACATTTTATGTTCCTGTTGCAGTTCAGATCAATATGTGTCTCTACTAAAGCTTTTCAAAATAAAACAAAAATCTTCATTTGTTATAATCAATTTGTTAGAGTAAATATACGTCACTTAAAAAAAGAAATTGTTTTCTCTAGCATTTATTTTTTTATGTTTTGTGCTTGTATGTTGAATAACATCCATTAAAAAAATTACTTTTTACTTATTAAACACAAAAAAAAAAAATTTTACAAAAAAAAACAAATGTATCTCCATTTCAAATGTCTATTGCTAAAGCCATTAGTGAACAATGTATATCTTAATCACATGTACTAGAATATTTTTTTGTACTTTTACAAATCAATAATTAATTATTCAAATAATTTTGACAATCATTCATTTCCGATAGAAAATTTCTTAAATGAAATAAATCATTTTTTTGCATATTGTCACTTTCAATTTAATCTTTTAATAGATGCAAGCATCGACTATCTACGTAGTTCATCATTAATATTCCATAGTTGTTCAGTAATTACATGATTTATTTTTTTGGCTAGGTTTACATTGCAGATATGTTTTTTTAGACAATTAAGGAAAAGTAGCCGCAAAGCGGAGTCCGGATGAGAGAGAAGACAAAACTGAACGTATAATAGAATCAAAACAAGATTTATTATGTGACAAAACAAAAATCATTAATGAAATATATAAGAATATCTAAGGTACTAATTTTATTATCAAATTGTGGCAGCGAATATTGAAATGATTGTTACCCAATTATTTTTTTTTACAAATCTTGACCTTGAAATTCAAAGTTGAAGCTTAAATATCCTTGAATACTTTTTTCTTATCGCAGTAAATTTCGTACGAAGTATTCGGATAATTTCTTTTTAGATTTTGATATTCACATGCTATCTGCCGAAGATTTATCAGACTTGATCAAAAAAACTGATCCATCCGTATCTTACTATAATCCTAGAGATGAGCGGGACCAATCATTTTTGGTCCCGGTCCCGGTCCCAGTCCCGGTCCCGGTCTAAAAAAAAGTGGTCCCGGTCCCGATCCTGATCCCGGTCCAAAAAAAAAGTTGGCCCCGGTCCCGGTGCTAGTCCCGCCGGGACCGGGACCGGGACCGGGACCATGTTGCCCATATCTAGTCACATTCCAGTGACTCTGTGCGATGAGCCGGGTTTTTTTTATGTCATCGAATTGCATTACGGCATCTTCATAATAATGCACACTCTAAAAGTGCCATCCGTCTTACAAGACGCAAGTGTCTATTCTGCGCTTATTTTGCTTCAGCATCTAAAATTGATTATCCTTTGCAGAGATTGAATCGGTTGGCATTTTTTCAGAACCGAACCGAATGTAACCGACCGAAATTTCAAAAATTTTCAACCGAACCGAGCCTAGAACGTAGGTGAGGATAAAGATGAGGCATATATGCACACCCACCCTCATACTATTCACTGTAGTGCTTATCAAGATGACAATCAATACTGATCATTTCATCCTCAAGGAAAACAACCTCATGTATATACGTTTTTCTAAGTTCTATGTTTCTCTCATCCAATAGCATTATCTAATCAGCATTAAGTTCGTAGTGTTTTGTCAAAATGCTGCTGCAGTGGAACAGTAACCAGTCAGTATGTAAGAGAGAAATTCGTGTTCATTTTTTCATTGTTTTCTATGGCTACAACGAGCATAACAATTCTGTCGTTGCATAAGTATGGCCGATGTTCGCTGCTATGCTTCACTTAATTTTTTTTCGCATAAAATCACACTATTATTCATTTGAGCAGAAAAGGCGAGCGTTCACCTATATATATGTCGAAGTTGACTTAAAAATTAATTTCAGAGTCAACTAGTTGAGCTTAAAATATTTTCAAATCAACTGAATTTTGAGGTCAACTTCGACATGTACAAAAAGATAACGCGATAACGCTCGACGACACACTTGTTTTGTTTTCAAACAATGGCTATTATTACCATTGATGCAGTGGCGTAGCCAGGGAATGGCCATTGAGTAATAGCCCAACAGCTTAAAATTTATTACCCAATACTACAAAAATCTTTACATACGTCTGCTCGAAGACTTTAGAAAGCATCGGTTTTTGTGATGGAAATAGACTTTCAAAAAAAATGGAGTCCAATAGATTTTAAATTGTCTAATATTGCCCATTCCTCAAAAACATTTATCAGGAAATGACCCACGACTCCAAAATTTCTGGCTACGCCACTGTATTGATGTATGTCTTCCATTGTATTTTCCTCAATTACGAAATATTATGGCATCTAATGTTTTGTCGCTTTTTTAGTTCTAGAAAAGCAGATTGCCTTTTGATATAACTCCAAAAACTTCTCAACGTGATCAATTGACTAATCAGATACCATTTCATATAATGTCATTGTTTTGTTATTATTCTTTTGAGCAATTTCATAACAAAGATGAAAATAATCCTTTGTGATAATTCAATCTTTATTTAAAAAAGATAGTTAGCGCAGCACCAAAGGAGCTGAAATGTGGAACTCACGTATATCGTTTAGACTTGTTATCCTAATATATCATCTGCAAACTGAAAGATTTCTGTTGATTAAAATGATTCTTATAACTCATCACTGGCATAAACAATATTTTATTATTTATTTGTACATTTAAAACTGCGACTATCTTTTACGGTTGAGCGCGCCCGATTTTTTTTATTAGTGTTGCTATATACTCGATAATAATCATTTTTTTTTTTGGCTTTTTTTTTATTTGAAATTTTTTCATCATCAACTATTTTATAAATAC